ATGAGCGAACGTGGCAAATGTGAATTGATGCAATTGGTGCATTTTTTGTGAAGTGTATAAGGGAATTCTTTGCAACTTTTGTGTAATTATGAAATTATCTCAAAATAAAGTTTAAAAAAAACCTCAGAAAAAGGAGTGAGAGTACATATGAGGCAGGCCTGGTAGAGCCAGGTGAGTGGTGTTCCAAGGACGGAGGTTGGGAGTCCCCCTCTGGAGGCCCCCTGCACCCTCCGTCAGCACTCGGTCAGAATGCTCCGCTGTCTTACTCACTTTGTACCCCTGGACCCTCACTGTCCCTTTCTGAGACTCAGTTCCTTTATTTGAGAGATGGGGATGAGGATTCCTGTCCCTTTTATTGTGATCTTGGTTTCCCAAAAGCAAACTATGCTTTCAGGAGTCCCGGGGTGGGGAGGGGGCAGACAAAGCAGATAAACCAGGAATACAAACGGTCAGGTTGATAGGAGCCCTTAATTTCTTCGTTCAATAAAACAGATGCAAGGGCTGTGAGGGTTTGCCTTGGATGAAGTCTCCAGTTCTCATAACTCAGGCACAAGGGAGCAGGAGCCCTGGCATCTCAGTTGTCTTGAGACACAGATTGGGGTCTCCTCCTGTCCAAAGGGGCAGCCAGCACACTTCCAAGGCAGCCTCACGTCAGGACAGAGGTGGAGAGCCGGCCGGGACAGGGGGTGCACATGCCTCCCCTCGTTACCACCCTGTCTCTCCCCTGGACGACAGCCACAGCCTCCCACCTGGCTCCCCTGACCCCACCCCTCCGGAGCTCCACTGTCCCCAAGGGAGGTTTGGGTTTCTGAGCAGGGAAGCCATATGCCGAACCTGGGTGTTCGGCTGATGGCACAGGCCACAGATTGGCACCAAGGGACCAGGGCAGGCAGATCAGGAAGGAGCAGCTGTAGCGCCCAGTCGGGACACTGACACCAGGGAAACCCTGTAATAAGTAGACTAGTCTGGTTACCCTTAGCTCCAAATCTGGCCTCCACCAGGCGACGCTGACTGTGGCAACGCTTTCCAGTCTCTCCATTTCCAGCACAGAGAGGTTCCTCTCCCAAAGCCCTCCCTCTGTGGCAAGAGAGGGCTGGCAGGCACCAGCTGCTTTCATCAGGACAAATCAATCCAGCTGAGCTGCCTCCACACTGGAACCACTGGGAAGTGAGGACTCTCCCCAGCTCCTGGGCCAGTGGTCCTTTCCCCGGAGAAGGTGGGAGCTCCTGATCCCCACTCCCTGCTCCTGGGCAACGATGAACACTCTAGGAAGACCACAGAGCCGCAGCTTTCCTGGGTTCCAGGCCTGGTGGCCTTTAGAGACCACAGGGCAGTGGGAAAGGTCTCTTGAGCGTCCCAGGCCAGCAAGGCAGAGTGGGAAGCCTGTCCTGGTCGACCGGGACCCACCCAGCACTCAGGCAGCTAGTCCTCTTTTGCTCATTGTGGCATATAAATATTCATTCATGAGTGTACGTGCAGGTTTATACATTCACAAGGGACTAAGTGTACACACCTTCCATTATGTCTGACTGTTAACAATAATAGTGGTTAATTTTAATATATTACTTACATACACAGGACGGTCTAAGAGCTTTACATCTATCTCATTCAGTCCTCAGAACGAGGTAGATTTTCATTATCCCCGCTTTATAGAAGAGGAATCTGACACATGGGGAGATACGTAGCATGCCCAGGGTCACAAGGATTGGGATTTGAACCTAGGTCATCTGAATCTAGGGACTTTGCTCCTGATCATGACCCTAATACTGCCTCCTTAAATAGGTGCTCAACAAAGGTTTGAGGAACTGAATTATGTGGAAAAAAGAGAAAAGAGAACGAGAGTGAGTGAAATGAGTGCAGCTTTCATCTTGAGATCACCCCAGTCCCCAGTGCCTGGCGTGCCCACGCCCTTAGTCAGTGTTTCCTGGATCGGCCTGTGTGTAACATCAGATAGTGCCTACGTGAGAAAGAGCGAGAAGGAGCGAGATTTGACTACCAGTGTTCCTCTGCTTATGCAAAGGGGCCGGGACAGGAGGTGCAGTCAGATCATCTTTAATCTTTCCCACAGGCTTTTCCTGCTGCTAGCCACCCCTCCCCCACCCGAATCTGGTGGCTTGGACCTGGGACTGAGCAAGGAGGGACGAGTATTTCCCACAGCCCCAGGCCTCCCCACCTGCCAGAGTCAGGCACTGTCACTTTGAGAGCTTTGCAAGATTGTCCCTGAGACACACTTCCTGGTGTTTCTGCTCAAACAGCGTTTGCTGCAAAGTATGCCAAAGCATTTGGGCTTCAGTTTTTGTTTCAGAGTATGCCAATGTTTTCATTTGGAAGGGGAAGTGTTTCTGTTGATGTGAAGAGATAAAATAAGACATTCTTCACCAAGTTACACTGACTGAAAGTCAAGAGCTTGGCTTGGGGGCAGGGATTCATCTTAGAATCCCCAGGGCCTGGCAGAAGAGCAGGGCTAACGTTTGTTGAATGACCCAATAAGTGAATATGCAAAAGGTCTAGAACCAGGTGTGGTATGATCAATACTCAGTACAGGTTCTGAACAGACCCCATAGGTTCTACCTCCAAAAGGTATTCTTGGTCTCTGTGTGTTTCTCCACCTTCACTAACTTTGCCTCATCCAAGCCTGCATCACCTCTGGCCTGAGCAACTAACCAGCTCCTAACTGGCTTCCCTATTTCCGCACTTGCCCCTACGGCTCATCTTGCCCACAACCGCCAGTTCTCTTTGCAAAATGTGGACTGGAATTGTCTCATGCCCTGCCTAAAACCTTCTGATGGCTTCCCATCACTCGTGGCCGGGCCTCCCAGGTCCTGCATGATCTGGCCTTGCCCACCTCACTGACTTCTCCTGGGGCTGCTCTCCTGTCACACTGGCCTCCTTTCAGTTGCTGGAAGAACCAACTCTCTCCCCTGCCCCTCCCCCTCCACGTACTTGGCACTGCGGGTCCCTCTGCCTGGATAGCTTTTCTCCACAACTTTTTTTTTTTTTTTTTGCGGTACACGGGCCTCTCACTGTTGTGGCCTCTCCCATTGCGGAGCACAGGCTCCGGACGTGCAGGCTCAGCGGCCATGGCTCACAGGTCCAGCTGCTCTGCGGCATGTGGGATCTTCCCGGACCGGGGCACGAACCCGTGTCCCCTGCATCGGCAGGCGGATTCTCAACCACTGTGCCACCAGGGAAGCCCTTCTCCACATCTTTACATGTGGCTCCTTCCATCAATTTAGGGCTCAGCTCAAAGGTGTCATTTCCTCAGAGAGGCCTTCTCTGAAGCCCCTGTCTGAAGCAGCCTATCTCTAGTCTTCTGCTTCACTTACCGAGGCATTTATTGAGCACCTACTAGATGCCAGGTGCTGTTCTAAGTGCCGAGGAAATAGTAATGAACACAATAGAGGATGCCATGCCTTCAGAGCTCTCAAAAAATCTCACTGCCTTGTTTGGGAACCTGCTCCTCTTCTCACAAAGTGCCAGGAGGGCTGGTGCTGAGTCTGTCTTGTTCACTGTGTTCACCCGCCAAGCACATTAGGTACTCAGTAAATATCTGTTTAATAAAAGAACAAATTGATGGATGGATGGCAGGCAGGCAGGCCAACTGGTTAGGTACGCAGAGCAGCTGACACATGCTACACCTGGCCCTTGGCCCTGGCTAAGGTCTCCCTGAGCTCAAATGAAGCTTTCTTCAAAGAAATCTCACTGTCAGCCCCTCAGGTTGACACTGCTAGTGGGTCCTGCCCGCCTTGCATCACCCTCTGACTATGGTCATCTTGGCTAAGATAGGCAAGAAGAGGGGGGTAAACGTAGCATGCTTGGGGTAAGTGACATTAGTGTCCATCTTCCAAAAGGAGCCCTTTTGACTTCCCTGGTGGTCCAGTGGTTAAGACTCCATGCTTCCACTGCAGGGGGCACGGGTTCGATCCCTGGTCAGGGAGCTAAGATCCCACATCCCACATGCTGGGCCGCCAAAAAAAGGTAAAAGGAGCCCTTGCCCACCACCTCAGTATCCCCCCGCCACTGCCACTCAGGACCTGTGTCTAGCACCGTCCAGCTGAGGGGCTGAGCCAAGGAATTCCTTCCTGTCCGATGAACCCTCACCAGGCCCTCTCTCCTCTAGTCCAGCTGCCTCTCTTCCTTCCTGTGACTTTGGCCAAATCTTCCTCCTTTCTGGATCTTCATTTCCCTCCCAGAAACACACAAGGTGGGGCTGGATACAGCTTCCTGGTGGCAGCTCAGAGGCAGGACTTTAACAGCTCAGTGCAATGATCCTGTGGTCCCTTCTTCCGCTGGCCCAAGAGCCCCTTGAGTTTGCCTTGCAAACACTGCAGGCAAAGCCACCCAAGCACCAACCCCCTCGCTGGCCTGGTCTGTGAAAGCAGCCTGCGAAACTGGCAGCCCCTGAAGATTGGAGCTGCTGGCACTCTGAAATCTGACTCCAAAACGGCAGCCCAGCCGATGCCAAAGGAAGTACAGGGTTCTGTGCTGAGGGAGGTTTCTCCTCTCACAGCATCAGCCTGGAGCCCTTGCTCTCAGTCCCCACCCAGTCCCCAAGGGGCCACAGGACAAAGGTGATCAGTGCCTGGCTTCCAACCTCTTTTAACACTGCAAGTCTTTATCCTTCCAGGACTAATGAGAATCCCCCAAAAGCCAAGGTCACCATCAAGACAGGTTAAGGATGGGGGGAGGAGTTGACAGGCCTGTCTCAAATGTATCTGGGTGCAAAGGCTTTGACAGTTGGTACTACAGCTAACCAAGAAGCGACTTAGGTCCTGCCTCCCTTCCCTTCTTCAATAGCTGTCACCTTCACTAAGGGGAAGCTTTCCTGCCCTAACTAAGGTCCTAAGAAGAGTCCAGCCATTCCTGGCATCCAAACAGACCTGGAAGAGGTGGATGGAGAAACCAGAAGCCTGGGGGAGGGGTGTGTGTCCGGCTTGGGATGCCTCCCTCTTCCTCGCCAGCGCCCCAACCCGCCCTCATCCTGCGCAGAGGGCACTTACAGGCCTCGGAGGCCGAAGAGGGCCTCGTCCTGGGAGTCCCATCCCTGGCCAGACGGTGCCCTCAAACAGCAGCGGCGGCATGGCTCGTGCTCCGGTCCGGGCCGAGGGTTGCGGGTCGTGGGGAGAGCGGGGGACAGCAGCCAGGCCTACTCCAAGTAACCATCGAAGACGTCGAGCTCCGAGTCGGCATCGTAGAGGCCCGAGCCGGGGTCGGAGAGCACGCCGAGGTCCACGAGCGCCTGGTCCATGTCCTCGGGCAGGAATACGAGGCCCACGTTAAGGACGATGTACTCCATGAGGAAGGCGTAGTATAGGATCAGCACATTGACGAAGAACAGGCCCACGTAGAACATAGAGGGCAGCAGGGGCGGCGGCACGGAAGGGACCAAGGGGCCCAGCGCGTCCAGGTGGGCCGCGACCCGGGCGCCGGGCATGCAGGGGGCGGCGAGGGCGGCGGCGGCCCGGCGATCCCAGCGAGCTCAGCCGCTGCGGCGCCCGGGCGGCCGGCGAGAGGGCAGCTCAGCCATCCAGGGGCGCCCCGGGGCTGGCCGAGGCAGCGCTGGGCCCCGGCGGTGCCCCCCCTGGGATGTGCGTCGGCCCCTGCGGAGGCGCCCCGGCCCCCGAAACGTGCCAGGAGGGTCACCCCACCCCCAGAGGTGCCCACACGGCACTGTCGATCCACCCAACGGTCAGGCGGGCCCCTGAAGTGGCCGGCAGCGGCCCGGTTCCTCCGATGCTCCCCGCTCCCGCTCAAGGGCCCTCGCAGCGCCTGCGGGGACCCCACCGCAGTTCAGCGTCAAGGGCCAGTCCCGGCAACGGTCTCTTCAGCCGCTCCCGGCCGTTCCCCGAGCCCCATGCGCACCCCCGAAGGCCCAGCACCCATTGCTGCGACCGCCGCGTCGCCCTCCTGGCAGCGTTCCGAGCACCGCCTCCGGAGCAGCCCTGCGCTCATTGGCCCACCGCCCCCTGCCCTCGCTCATTGGCTCGCCCAACGTCCGAGCTCACTGGCCCGAGCCGTCCGGGGGCGGGTACCGCCTCGCTCCGCCCCTAGAGCCGCTGGCTTCTGAGTTGCTTTACTAGTTCCGGATTCAGGGCCGATCTGGAATCCAATTCGCTCTGCGAATCCGCGACAGAGTAGGGGGAGGGGAAAGAGTCAGAACGCAATTCAAACCTAGACGTATCCTAAGGCTACAAAAGCTGAAGGTAACCGCGAGCTTCATCAGCACCCGGCTGGACTTGAGTACTGGCGTCACGCCTTTTTGGGACTCAGTTTACCTGCTGAAAAAGGGGGCGGGGGGGGCGGGGCGGTGGACCTTACCTTGAAAATTTTGGCCTTTCCTAAAGTGGCAATTTTCCACGGTGGGGAAGATCAATCAGTGCCCCCTTCATCTCTCCAAATTCTGGCTGCTGGAAGGTCTGCCCCCTCAGCGGGGCGGGCCGGGGATTTTGGTAGATGGAAATCTGCCTAATAGGGTTCCGTGACACCTGAGTAAAGAAACTCCCGGCAGGTCAGACCTGCAGCACTAGGGTTGCGTCTTGTTTTTACTTTGTAAAACACGTTTTAAAACAATAATAGTGCACGTGGTTAAACATTCAAACAACCAAGAAGTACACAGAAAAGTGAGTCTCTTCCACTCGCTGATTCCCCTCCCCAGCGGTAACCCCTGTACGTCCTTCAGGAGACTGATTTTGCCCAAGGTGGCTCCCAAAGGAGTCCACAGACCTTTAAATCTCACGTCACGTTGAGCTGGGTGCTCTACAGGCATTGCTTAATTGGAGCCAGATGGGGAAGTGTATGTTACTCATTTTTGCTGATGAGGAAACTGAGGCCCAGAGAAACAGGAGGACCCTGGAAGCTGCTGGGCCTGTGTGTGTTTGGAGGCCAGAACCTGCCCTTTTTTCTCCATGACTGTCTCTTGCCCCTTTGGGTGAATTACACAGCAAACCATTAACCCTCCAACTGCTGAAGGTGAAACAAATCTTCATTCATTCACTTATTCACTCTGACAATATTTGTTGAACATTTATTATATGCCAAACCTTGTGCTAGGCACTGGGGAGAATATTGACCCTTAGCCCAATTCTGTCCTGGGAACAGTTAATGGGACACAGTGGACCTTAGATAACTGTGAGGTGTAGAAATGAATGAATGGATGAATGAATGGTGAACAGGGCAGTATCGCCTCCATGGAGCTTCCCACTCCCGATACAGGAGAGAAATTTAGATACATCTTCTTGGCTGGTGTAGGAAGCTGTGTGTTTCCTTATTTTTATAAGTGTGGTTGTTTTGGAAATGGCATGGATTTTCGGCGAAGACCAGAGAAATGCTCTGAAAGCACAGGACATTCAGTTTTGGTACATTGTTGCTTGAAGGCCTTTCAATATTTATTTTTTAATTGAAGTAGAAAAAGAAAAAGGCTGTGAGGACAAACCAAGACGTTACCGGTTTTGTGAAGTTTCGTTTGTTGGGGCATAAAAATAAGGGTGCCTGGGTTTGAACCTTGGGTCTGCCGCTTATTAACTGTATGACCTTGGACAAGTCAATCCCTCTGTGATTCAGTTTCCTCCTGGGTAAAATGGGGATAATAGCAGTACCCACCTCACAGGGATGTTGTGAGAATTAAATAACAATATATGTAAAGCGCTTAGGGCAGTGGCACGCGGCATACGCCAAGCAACAGCTATTCTTAGTCTTATCATAAAGGTAATAATTGTTAATATTGTGGTAACTTTTATTCCCCAATCTTCACGGATTCGTTTCTCAGGGCTCCGCCCATAGGTTTCCCATTCCCGCCTATCCCTAAGATACTGCGGACTGTCCTCCTCTCGCTCCGCCTCTTTTCCAAGGTCGCCGGCCTGAAGTTGCGTGATGCACTCCGGGCCTTGTAGTTCCTTCGGAGAGTCTTGTCAGCGGGGGCCTCGCGGGCGAACTGCATTTCCCAGCGTTCCTCGTGACGGCGCCGTAAAGCGCGGCGGTCGAAGGGCCGGTTCCGGCTGAATGTCAGTGCTGGACTGTGGGCCGGGGGGGAAGGTGGTTGGCAGTCTCTCGAGCACCTCAGCCGCTGCTTCCTCCGCTTGTGCCGCCGCCGCGGGCGCCTGGCCGCTCGGCCGCTTGGGCATGAGACCGTGAGGCAAGCGACTGGCCGGGGCCGCCGACATGTTTGGCCGCTCGCGGAGCTGGGTGGGCGGGGGCCATGGCAAGTCTTCCCGCAATATCCACTCCTTGGACCACCTCAAGTGAGTGTACTGGGGGCAGAAGGGGGAGGCCGCGGGGCTGGACTTGGGGATGGAGGCGCATAGCCCCTGGCCGGGGGCGCTGGGAAGTGTGAGAGCGGAGGCGGAGGGCCGAGAGAGGCGCTCGGGAAAGGCTGTTCGGCGGTTAAGCGCTAGGGCTCTGGACATAGGGCGCCTGAGTTCGAACCCTGACCCCGTAGCTCCTCTCTGTGTGACCTTGGGCAAGTCGCTCCGCTTCTCAGAGTCTCAGTATCCCCATCTGTAAAGTAAGGGGATGAGATTTCGGTTTACGGATGCAGACTTCGGTCTTGCTGGGGCCGGATGATGGGCACCAAGCTTCCCCGGGGTGGTACTTCTTAGGCTGGACAGCTTACGGGTCAGAGGTCTGGATCCTGGAGTCAGACAGATGTGGGTTTGAACTTAAGTGGATGAATTTAGGCCTCAGTTTCCTCAGTTGTAAAATGGATATAGTGAGAGCACCTGCTTACTACGATTGTTTTGAGGGTAGGGTCAGAGAATGTACGTAAAGCTGGAAGCTTCTACAAGTGCTCAATAAAGAACAATAATTAAAAAACAAACTAGTGGGCTTCCCTGGTGGCGCAGTGGTTGAGAGTCCGCCTGCCGATGCAGGGGACACGGGTTCGTGCCTCGGTCCGGGAAGATCCCACATGCCGCGGAGCGGCTGGGCCCGTGAGCCATGGCCGCTGAGCCTGACCGTCCAGAGCCTGTGCTCCGCAACGGGAGAGGCCACAACAGTGAGAGGCCCGTGTACCGCAACAAACAAACAAACAAACAAAAAAACAAAGTAGTTTCTTAGGGGAGTCTAAAGCGTCAGAAGTAGAGCTCCGAGGGAGGCAGGTGGCAAAGGTGGTCCTGGGAAGCAGGAGTACACAGAGTGGCTTTGCAGTTAGACTGGCATTCAAATCCTGATTCCACCATTTAATGGCTTTGTGACCTTGGACAAATTGTTTCACCTCTCTGAGCCTCTGATTCCTCATCTGCAAATGGGAATGGTGAACATTGTGCAAGGATTCAGTAATATCGTGTGTGGAAAGAGATCGATCCAGTGTCTGTTATACAGTTGGTGGCCAATAATGGTAGCAGTGTTTATCAGCTGGGCAAGGCCTTCCCAGACCACCCTACCTAAAGTGCCTCCCCTGCCTCAATTCCTTTCTGTTAGATTTCATTCATTTGATTAATCTCCACTATCTGCAATTATCCTGTGTGGGTTTTTGTTTTGTTTTGTTTTTTTACTGCTGTTCTGTTTGCTACTAAACTGGTACTTCCCGGAGGGCAGAGATGGCTTGTTTTGCTCAAAGCTGTATTCCCAGCATCTAGCTCTGAGCCTCTCACACAGTAGGAGCTCAATAGATACTTAAAGAATGAAAAAAATTAATGAATCGGGGAGAGGTGCAGAGCATGCAGGCAGAGCCTAGGATATTTTAGCGGGGGGGCGGGGTGGAGGTGAAGGAAAATAGAGACCTTTGAAGAGGGAATGACTTCAGGGAAGAAAATACAGTGTTGAGGGGTGGGGGGAGAGAGTGGGGGAGTAAGCAAACCTTTGGTGGTAAGAAATTGGCTGATTTCCAGAAGGAGCTCTCAGGATTACTAATGGGAAAGAAGGATGGAGAGGGCGGGCAGGGAACAGTAGGAGGAAGACAGGGGCCCCTGGAAAGTGTTGGTGGGAGGGAAGTTAGATGGGGGCTTCTCATTTGGCTGGGGGTAGGGGTGCTGTAATTCTCAGCTGTGTCCTTTCTAGCATGGAGCAGGTGTTTAATAAATGTTTGTGGGTCTCAAAGAGTGGGCGGCAGGAGGGATCATTATGTAATAAGGAATGGTTTTTGGGGGTGGTGATGAGAGAGGACATGGGGAGGAGAGAGGCCTAGGGCAAGCACCGGGCTGTGTAGGGAAACAGGAATCTTAAATGGGAAGGCAGCTGGACGGGAAAGGGAGAGGCTTAGAGATTTCAGGAATTTAGAGAGTGGGTGGATGAGGCCGAGAAGGGGAGGAGAGATATCTAAAGGAGATTGGGCCTGCTGCCAGCATCCAGGTACCTGCAAGCTCTCACCTAACTCTGCCTGATTCTAACCCTTTTAAATTACTTTAGTAATTATTGAATGCATTTCGGTGCCAGGTGCTTGTTAAGGAATTCCTGTGTGTTATTTCCTTTAGTCCTCATAAGTCTTAGGAGTTGTCAGAAATATTATTGTTTCTATTTCTTAGCCTGGAAATTAAGGTCCAAAGAGGTTCAGTCACTTGCCCAAGGTGACAACAGCTGAAAAGTGTCAAAGCCAGGATTTGACTTCAGTGTTTGCACTCATTACACTGTCTTTTTGAGTAAAATTTCCTAAAAGTCAGTTTGGGAAGACTTTCAACTTGGCTGAGTCTCACTGCCCAATGGCCATCTTCGCCCTCTGCCCAGCCAGGGAATGGTGAAGGTTCTCAGGTTCCTTTGAAGTATCCTGGGAACTGCCCAGGTTCATTGTTCAGGTCACACGGCTGTTGGGTGCTTTTTGGAAACCAGAGCTGCCTGCCCTGGATCTGGTGGATCAGCTGAATCCACACTGTAGCCTGAAGAACCTGGCGATTTGTGTGTTGGAGGGGGGCTTAGAAGATCCCAAAGCGACTTGGGAAAGAGTGCCATAAACAGCTAGTGCCCACCCCAATGCTTGGGCACAGAACAGCCCGTTCCCTGAGGGAGCTCGCCGGCTGGTGGGGGAGATAGCCATAGAGCCAGTGACTGTGGTATGACAAGTGCTGGGATCACCGTAGGTTCAGGGCTTTGTGGGAACCCTTCTTGGAAGCCCTCTGGGGGAGGCAACCAGAGCAGAGTTGTCAAGGATGAGCAGGAGCCACCGTGTGGACACGGCCCTGGGGTCTGTGGAGTGTCAAGGTGGGGCTGGTGGTTATGGGACACAAGGCTGGAGGTGGAACAGGGCTTGGGCCTCCTCTGATACAGAGAGCCACCAACCGTTGCGGGGCACCTGGGACTAAAGGGTTTCCCAGGACGTGGGACTTTCAGTGCTAAAACTGGGAAAGTCCTGGGCAGCCAGTACTAATTGGTCACTCTACCAGTGACAAGTGACAGTTCCTAATACACTGTTGCCCTGACCTAGGGCAATGTGGGTACAGAGGAGAGATTAAGATACTTAAACGAATTTAGAATTGACAGTTTTGGGAGGGGGGCACACAAAGCATCTGAGAACCCTCTTCCTTTTTTTTTTTTTCTAAATAGACTTTACTGTTAAGAGCAGTTTGAGATTTACAGAACAACTGAGAAGATAGTACGGGCAGCTGGAAACCCCTTTTGAACCACATTATTCATAACATTCCTGGCTTTCAAACTGTAAAGGAATCTTGCTGTAAGACAGGGTTTTACTTTTGCTAATTAATAGAAAGCTGTGTACTGTGGTCTCTGTCTACTGAATGGAGTTAGTGATTTAGTTGAGGCAGATTGAAATAGTAAGAGGTCATTTGCTACACATCATGGGTGGTTTATTGCCCAGACTAGTGGCAAGGCTGTGACATTGACAAGCGGAAACCTTGACTGATGGAATTGCCTGATTGCTACTGAAGCATCACCTTCACTAGGGACTGCGAGTCCACAAACTGCTAGAACTTTCTTGGTGTTGGGTTGTGTTGTTGCCTTAAATCTAATCGCCTTTGTGTATGGGTCAAGGTTCTTGGTGTTGTTGCCTTAATTCTAATCGCCTTTGTGTATGGGTCAAGATTCTTGGTTTTAAGTGACAGAAGCCCAGCTGGAATTGCCTTAAGCCCCAAATGGAACTGATTGGCTCTTGCCACTGAGCAGGCTGTCCTAGCTAAGCCATGGCTGCGTCTCAGTGTTCAGACGAAGCTGTCTGTATGTGCTTCTTTCCAGTTCTTGTCTCCGCTTTCTTCTGGGTTGGTGTCATTCTCAGCATGCTTCAGGCTTACATCATATCAGCTTAGCAACCCCTGGGAAAAAGAGAGCTTCTTTTCTTAATATTGCCAGCAGAAGTCCAGAAATGAGCACCATTGAACAAACCTGGGGTCTCATGCCCGCCCCTGAGCTAGTTACTGTGACAGGGGGGCATGGGGTACTCTAAGTGGCCCTTCCCTGGAGTCAGGGTGGCATCAGCTCCTTCCAAGCTAGTGGACAGAGAATGAGAGAAAGGGATGGTTCAGCGTAGGAAAATTAGGGAGAAGAGGAATGTATACCCAGCAGGCAGACGTTCACCTACTCTTGGTATATTCAACTTTTGCCTAAGATAGCACTGATTATTTTTAGAGCTTGGGGTACAATATCGCCAGATTCATTTTCTTAGAGTGTCATATTCATCGTATCACTCATAGTGAGTACGACGCATCCATTATGTCAAGTCTAAAGTTCCCCCAGGCCATCAGAGCACTCCAGACTGTTCCCACCCATCTAAGCTTGGGAGCACAGATGAAGACCCTCTAACCCCAGCTGGGGAGCCAGGAGCATCCTTGGTAGGCAGACACCCATTTACATGGAGACATAAAGGATGAGTGGTTGTTACAGGCAGTAGGGGGCAGGCTGGAAGGGGGGATGCTGCAGGCAGAGGAAACAGCGTTTGAGAAGCCTGCAGGAGAGAGACACAGGGCAAGGGGGTGTGTAGGGCCCGAGAGCAAAGCCATGAGGCGGGAGAGGTCACAGAGCCTAGGTCCCACTGGGCCTTGTAAATTCTGTGTAGGAATTTGGACACTAGGCTGAGAACAGTGGGGAGCCGTGTGCTGTGGTCTGGCCGAAGTTTGGAGAATGGATTGGAGGAGCGTCCCCTCAGGGGCTGCTTCTGTCTTATAGTACGTGAGGGTAGTGCCTGCAGTAACCCAGGAGTGTTTCTTGTGCCATTTCACGTTGATGGTCCTTCTCTCACTCACTGTTGCACACACCTCACCTGTCTGCATCTGTGCTGTCTCCAGATGCCGAACTGTATCCTTAAAATACCAATTCTTGGGAATTCCCTGGCAGTCCAGTGGTTAGGACTCAGCACTTTCAC